GCTGTAGCGAGCGTGCGGTAGGTCACGTACGTGGTTGTAAAACCTGTGATAAAACGCCCATTTGGGAGACCTAGTCGTCGATAACGATAAAATTAAAATGTATCTTGGAAAAGACATGGTTTGAGGTTGTGGAATGCATTCGTCTGGCTCGGGATGATCCAGTGGCGGGCTCTTGCGGACACTTTAATGAACTTGCGAGTTTCACAAAAGACGGCTTCTCGAGACGGACTCTCCTCTAGAGCAGTGGTATTCAACCTTTTTTTTTCGCGTACCCCCAGATAATAATTTCTCTTCAACTTTGTACCCCCAAAGTTGTTGGTGTATAATTCAAGTTATACATAGTATATAATCTACATCTAAAATAAATATATATTTTAAATCTTGTCCGACTAATCACAATAAATTCTTATTAAATATTAAAATATTACAATAATTAACATTTAAAATATTTAAAATATATCAAATGATGTTCTTTATCGAAATATTCGATTTACATTAGACCATCATTTTTTCACGTGAATACAATTATATAAAGATTCAAATCAAATTAAATTACATTACTGATTATTCAGTGTTTATCATAAAATAATACATATATTTCTTTAAATTTCTCGTACCCCCTAAGATGTCTTCGCGTACCCCCGGGGGTACGCGTACCCCAGGTTGAATACCTCTGCTCTAAAGAGTTATTCCCGGAATTTAGGAACTATAAAATCTCAAAGTTCTTCTTTCCGAACTAAAGAGGAGTCAGTGTTTCTATTCACAAAAGCCTAACTGACCTCGTAGTGTTCAGAGTCCCGTCTTACGAAGTTCGATTTGGGATTTTCGTGGTGGACTGGATCCTTTGATGACGTGCTATGGCGAGAAAGAACATGGCTGTAGTCTGCTAAAAGTCTACAGACGTTTCAGAGGTGCTTGCTACCTCCATAATCAGGGCGATGACGATAGAGGTACTAATAGCCTCTGAAACGTCGGTAAACTTCTACCAGACTACACGGCGCAACAACCCAGAAGACAGAAATCTTCAGCTGGAACGTTCATTTGGCTTAGAATGTGAGCCTGTCCGTGGCCTGCTGAAGACAATTTTCCGACTGTGAAAAACAACTATTCTGCGATTCCTGTTTATTTATAGGACAGACGTCCTCGCACTGAGGTAACCTACTTTTTTTACACGTTCATAAAATCTCGTCATTTGCAAATACCTCTGAAAATACGTGTTTAATGTAGCACGTAACAAGGACACAGGTATTTCTTTTAATAACAGTAATTCTCTGTGTATATCGACAAATTATCGTAATAAACAATCAGCGCCATCTCTTGATTACGTTGCCACGACTACCTCAGTCCACATCCGGAAGTCCTGAGTAAGAAACAAAAGTATTCACAGCTGAACTACGACTATAATCTTTACGTCTTATCACGAGGCACGTGTTTTGAAACAACAAAAACTGACATTATTACAGCAGATCCTCGTCAGCGCACACAACAAATCTAGTTTCAACAGCAACAATGAGAGACTCTCGGTCGACCGGTTTCTATCACGCAGTGTGTGCGTCTGCCGTCAGATGGGTCTACTGCAGCAACCTGTGTGTGTTTTTAAATCCAGTGCAGACCATCCATCACGAACTGTCTCTAAGCGGAAATGAGAATCAACTTCCTATTACTCACGGGGATCCCATGCACCACCAATCGATCGATCGATCGATCGATACGCTGCTATTTGCTGTAGCGACCTCTCGCCCCCGTCCGCCACACAGCGGCCATTTTTAAAACCCACACTTATACCGATTACCCATCATGCATTGGCTCACACGTCCGTCTACTGCCGCGGCTAAGAACGCGTGGACGACGTTTAATCAACTCCAGAGGGCGTTTTGCGTCACTGTTTACAGAAAGATTAACTGTCATCTTCGCCCATTCTCCTGAAAGAACGAGGAAGGTTTTTACCTTCCTCGTTCGTTCCACAGTCGAGGTTCGAACCAATTGCATCTCGAATCTGTAACGAGCCCTCAAACCGCGATATCCAATCTTGCGAATCAGGAAGTAACCGCCATGGCCGATTTTAAGGCGTTGTAAGGAGTGGTTTAAGAATTACGTGTTAATCATCAGACTGTAAAAGTTCGTCGAGTGAAAATTGTACAATAATTTTTGACTTAAATACGTCTATATTTTAGGGTCAGTGTCATTCGGCAAAAATGTAACGAAAAAGTGTAAGTGCATTGTTATGTTACCTTGGAAACGTCAATTGTTTACTCGGCATTATCGTTACTAGGCTAGAATAAAGTATCGTCCTAACGTAGCTTCACAACCAAACGTACTAAAATATGATTGGACACCATTAAACAGACGAAGTGGCACAATCACATTTAAAAACGGGCAACTTAAATGTAAAAGATTACAATTCCCGTTAGTTGAAGCTGCAGCTCTAACGGTTCATAAGTCGCGGGGTGGTACATTTCTACAAATTGTATTCAGCTACAACAAGAGTCTAGATCATCAGTTGTCCTTTCTCGCGTTACATCGTTGGACGGCTTCGTGTTTTATCACGCCAAGGGAACAAACAATCCAAAGGTAGAGGACTTGCGCACTGAGCTGAGGCGGTTAGAAACACGTACATTGCCCACGTTGACTGCTTCAGTGAGAGCATTCATAAGGAGTGCTGGTATTCGTGATCTAAAAATGACTACTCTAAACGTACAGAGTTTAAAAAATCATGTGCAAGACATGGCAACGGATACAGAGATAACTAATAACGATATCCTGACGCTCACCGAAACGTCGATGCACAACAACGAAACTGTAAATTTGGAAGGTTATAAATGCATCACGTGACGAACAAAGAGCAGGCGGAGAAACATGGAGCAACTACCATGGCTACCCCACATCTGTTGATGAAACTACCTAAGGAGGATGGAGCAGATTACAGAATAGCTGAAGCTGAAACGAGAGGTGATATCTATGCGGCAGAGTGTATGGTCAATGGTGAAAAAGTTTTAATTGTAACCCTGTATATTTGTAACCACATACCTATTGATGACTGTAAGAGATTTATTTTGAGACATTTGAGAAATTATACAAAGATGTTTTCAGTTATGGCCACTGAAGATCCTAATACAATGCCGATAATATTGACAGGAGATTTTAACATTGATTTAAAGAAGGAGGAAAATCAAAGTTTTGTCATATTAATGGAGGAAACGTTTCGCTTAATGTTGATGTCAAATCCTAGATCAAAATCTTGTATAGTTATGGTGTTTGCACGATATATTGATATTCTAAAATGTACAATTTTATAACATATTTCATCTACCACAGAGCCATCTGAAGCCTTACTAATTCAAGTTGATTAAGCAATGTCTTAATCAAACTTTACTCAATTGTAAAGCGTGTATAAAGGAAATATTTAGAATAAAGCCAATATATAAACTTCCTTTCCGTATAGACGTATTTACGTCTAATTCTCCGGAACCGTGGTTCCACTGACAACTTTTTAATGTAGAAAACGTAAAATAACGACGACTGATTTGCACTTCCGGTTTTGTAATTCAGAAGAAGTTCCGCGCTCTAAATGGGCGCGAGTCCGTTTTTGCTGCCCAAATACCAGAACATGCAATCGTGTTTCCTCATATGTAGAATTTCTTATATTGCTCTTAAAAAAATATTTATCCATCAAACCGTGAAATACTGAGGGAAATTTTTTGTTTCCGGTGGACTTGACGAAAGATAAAAAGAAAAAGTTTCTTTAAAATGGAGTGGACGTACTCATTTGTGGTTCTGGGTGTCAGAGACGAAGACAAGTGCTACGGACAACAAGGGAACGTCACATCAACATTTTATTTTTCAAAAACAGGAACAAATGTTGCCTCGCTCGCAAATAACGCTGAGTTAAGCTTAGATAATTCGGAGGACTGCATATAATAATAATAACAATGATGATGATATTAATGTTTACAAAATTAAAATGAATTAAGGAAATTTTGCGTTTCTTGGCAAGGAGCGCTGATTAATCCAATTTATTTATATTTTAATTAATTTAATCCACAAAATACATTATCACAACACGCGTAATAACTGAATTCGGATTTAAGCCCCTCTTGTATTGAACGGCCATACGTCATTTTCAGGTAAATGAACTTGGTTACATTATTTTAATTTTGAGGGCGTGAGGCAAGAATATCGACTTTTAATGGGTTTATTAAAGTTGTTTTAAAACATAAACCGATTAAATTAAAAAGGACGTCGGTTTTTTGCAAAATATATTTTCTGGAAATAATTATATTTTGACTTCAGCCGTTCACAAACCTAACCATGGTGGGTCCTTGAGGTCACGTGATATAAACACCGAAGGGATATTGCAAGGGGTTGGATCTAAACTACGTCAAATACATCTTAATTAAAACTGTCTGCTCACCACGCCATAGACATAAGTGGGCTTGGAGGTATAGATCCACGCATTCTTAACCTCGGAATCAGACGAGAGACAATGGTTAGCTTCACGCCCCAACAGTTTTGTCCCAAGATACGAACCCTGGCACCGACTGAATAAGCCGAGTGGGCCCGAGTCTGGACGTTGTGCTATGCGGTCCTCAAGCCAGTACCCTAGTTGCTACACTGTTGTATGAGAGGTGGCTTCCAATGGCATATCATTCGTATCAAATTCAATCGAAATCCGATGTATCTGGATTTTTTCCAGTTACTCTCATACACAAATGTTGACAAACACACCCCACCAGCCTTACATGTGTCCATATTAAGTCAGTATAAAAAGTAACCATCCATTTCATGCTTTAATTCCTAAGAAAATATATGTAACTACTCGAAGCAAAGTCATTTAGAAGCTTATAGTCGGTTTGGTGGTGAAGCATCCCGGTTCAATGTCACTGTGTTACAAGAACCAATCCCACACCTACATATCTTATTACTTTCAGATCCTCCCATCTGACACAAGAAGGGGAGAGAACACGGCTTATTTTAATATAAAATAATTTTATGGTACTTACAATAGTCAAATCATCACGTGGTGCCAAATATCCGTCTAGTGTGACTGATTCATGTAGCAGAATTCTCGTCTTTTCCACTTCTGGCAATGTCCTCACAAGATAATAAATAACATAACATGCATCACCACCACACGATAGTTAATAACACGGGTACAACTGCTTCACAATATGGCCACTGCATTTACGATCTGAAAATTTAGTTTATTAACATTTGCTTGTTTAACTCTCACTATTCTTTTATGTTCAGTCTCGTTGGCCTGCAAACAAGTTTCATTTTAGTTACGTTCTAATTTTTCGAATTATAAAGAGTAGTTAATTTTCTTCACGTACTTTTCCCCTCGATGACACACATTTTCCTTTGTCACTTATAATGTCCGGGTACGTTCTATCGTTCTCCACTTACAACATACTTCATCAGCAGTTGTCGATTACTCGAGTCTTTTAATCGTAGCGATTGCTTGAGGTTAATGAAGTTCGCAACGACAGTGATTTCGACATAACCTTAGTCATCGTACATTAATACGCTCTGGAAATTGAATTACTGTTAAGTACTACAAATAATTGCTACTGTGGCATTATAATTCCGTTCCTGTGTATAAAGAGTAACATGTCCGTTTCGTAGTAGTGGCCTTTGACCTTTCAAGAACACAAAGTGACAGATTAATAAACAATATGAATTCATTTACACAGCTGAATTCCCGTGAGCTTCACCAGGATAAGATGATTATCAGCGCACTACTCGTTTGTGTAATTCACTTTCCTGGCCACTAAATGGAATCAACTTCACTTACATATCCAAACTGAGGTAAACATCACCAGGGATTACACATATTTCACCCCTTCCTAGTACTTGATTAACCTCCGGTTATCAGAAATCATAACGAACCAGAGATGATTAAAATACTTACGTAACTTTGAGGTTAATTGCACCACCTTCACAGATGACTAGACCCTATTTCATATAATACTTTCCTCCCAATTCCCATAGATTTTTTCGTTTGATGTTTCTGACCAAATTGTGTGTAACTTTCTCATCACCCCAGAGAATGGCATATACCCCACCCAACTTATTAAGTTAGAAATGAGTAATTTACGTATGAATTGGAATACAGGAAAATACTTCAATTAAAAACAGCAAACACAATTTTAGTTAAACTTCACTCATTTATGGGTCATAAACCTTTAATACTATATAAACATATTACCTTAAAATTGCTTTATGGCACAGTTTCCTTATTTGATAAATCAATGGATATGAAAAAGTGTGTAACATCTGGTATGAAAATACCCATCTTTTATGGAAGGTTAAATTTATTTATAACCTTCACAGAACTTTGCCATTTGTCCCTGTCTTGAGTCAGATAAATCCAGCACATACACTACTACTGTCTTTAATATCCACTTTAATATTATTCTCCAAATGTGCTTACAACTCCCATATTATATTATTTTACTTTTGAATTTCCTACCTCTTGAACGAGAGATAATTGTGTCTGGATATAAATACAAGGTGCAAAATAATAAACAATAATTTCAATATTTTTATAATCAAATTAGCAACTACAAACAGGCATATAAATATTTAATTTTTGAGTCACAATTCAGATAAGGCATATCACAAAATTATTAAATAAAATATAACAGCCTTGAAGTTCAACCTGCGGTAAGAAACAAACACAGTGACTCACCAACTACGATATGAAAGCAATTCATATAAATTTGCTCATTACCACTTACCATTTTCAACCTAAAACATGGCATCTCCTATGGCAAAGAAAGATTTAACAATCCTATTCATTTCCTTCACAAAATTACACTCTGGGCATTTTAATTTCCCACGAATTCGTGGGACAGGACCCTCAGAAAATACAAAACGTTCCTTGTACTAAATGGTATTTCAGTAACTACGGATTGTACAAATGTTCACACGTTAACCAACTTCGATAATTCTCATAAATTAAATATTAGTTAGTCATCTTTGGCTGTTGCGCAGAAACAACTCATATTCATACTCGGTATTTGTAACTCGCTCGTGCACTGTCAGAATTCTCAAGCGATGCTGACGCCGTAAAACCTGTTATGGAAGATATTCTGACGGCTGAGGCATCAACCACTTCTGCAACATGCACAATGACTGCAATTGTTGTTTCTGCAAAAACAGAATGGACGGTACTTTCTCGGTACTCCACATCCGGACAACACGTTTGTTCACACATCCGCCAAGATGGAAACTGGATTCCCAACTAAACATCCGCAACTCCAGAAAGTCACCAAAAGAAGTCCGATTGACTTTGTTATCAAACCTAACATATTGCAGAATTTGGAACTTTTATGGCTTCGGAGCCCCCACTTAATGGTACCTGCACCTTGTCGTGGTGGTGGGGCTTGACCCCAAGAGCTATGCTGGCGGTAGCTTAGCTACTGGTAGGGCCTCCCTAGCCAGATTGGTCGAGGGGGAGAGGTCAGACTAAGACAGGTACCCTGGTCCTCCAGGTTGGGGGTTGGTTGCAAGGCTAACAACCTTGCACCGTAAAAAGGAAGATGTTTCGAAACCTCAACCAAAGCCTCGGACAGAATGGACCTAACAGAGGACTGAATGGAAGAGGACAACCGAGGAGGTCATGGACCGAATACGGACCGGAGAGCCATAGAAGAAGAAGAAGAAGAGATGGCTTCAGAGCCAACCAATTCCTCGCTATCCACCACGCTGCAAGCAGTGACATCTGTAGCTCATGACGAACACACTACTGATTTCTGAGGACTTCAAATAAATGACTGACTCGCACGTGCGGTCGTCACGTCACCTACTCTCGGCTCACCGGAGCTCTTCCCGCCACAGACGTCCAGTCGCTGGAAGCTGTTGATGCCACTTGTAAATGCTGATCTTTGATGAAAGGTTTTTGTTAAAGTTTCTGGAGTCCCGTCTCCACCTTCGTAGCCAATTTTGCCACACACAGCAGCAGCAACGCCTCTACATGGCATTACAGCAACTATGGTAGGCTATTTAAAAAACTGAAGTGCATCTTGGTCACATTTCATTTGTATTAGTGCGATAAATTTACGAAATGACGACCGACATATAGGATAGTCCAGTATTTCATATTACCTGTAATTTGCGAAAACTAACATTTCAACATTAAGTTACGTTTAACTCGTATAACCATATTTTCATAATAAAAAATAATAATGTAGCATTTTGATTATTTTGGTAACACTATTACGATGTTTCTGATGCACATGGCTAGCAGGCGGTTCTCATGGATTACCAAATGTTTTATTTCCACGTAGAACAAAGTTATGTTACATGAGGGAAGGAAAATCCTAGCTCGCAGGTTACGCCCACCTGATCAGGCACGTTTTGTTTTTGGTTACATACGCAGGTGCCAGGGTTCGAGTGAAAGGCATCTCGGCATTTTCGTTGGATAGAACACGGCCGCTCAGAATGTTTCAATTAAAGTCTTTAAGATGACACAGGACAATGAAGTAAGGTCAGTTCATTCTTGACATCCGAACTGGGTAGATGTAGGACACCGCTACTGTGTTCACAATGACTTCATGGCAACTGCCGAGTATAATTTGCTGGATGGTAGCGCAAGGTAAGCCCTGAAATGTCGGAGCATGTCTAGAAATAACTGAAAAAGGGATTTACAAAATTTATTTAGGCAAATTGTAGAATCTAAAGAATGTGTACACGTTTCGCCTCCATTTGTGGTAAGAGGGCTCTTTGGACCCTTCACAATTAAGAAAGTCGGCACAGTTGTGGGGCAGAGCACTGCGTGCCCATGTGTAAGCTTCACAGGGCGTAAGAATCTACTTTTTATGTGTTTATCTTCTTCTCTTTTGTAATGTGGCCTATACATTCTTGTGCTGGGGTAACTACGGGCGACGATGACCGAAAAAGTGAGTTCAGGATTTGGACAAGTTTCCCTCTGTCCTGGACGAGGCGCAATCCCCTGAAGCATTTAGGCTGATGGAAATGATTCCTAGCGATGACTTGGGGTACAGTTTCGCTACGCTTCCAAATTTTACCCGACTCTACCCTGGATTGTTACGATAAATCTGATTCGTGGGGACTTCCTGAAAATATATCTTTTAGGACTTACGATGGCACTAGCAATTATGGTCACCAAAATAATTCTTACCAACAATCTTACATGTATTATGTCAAGGAAACTTTTTTCCGCTAATAATCTTCAAGACTAAATGGTACACGGCGTAAATTTCCATGTATTGCGTGCGTACAGAAAATGCTAACAAACGCTACCCTCCCTTCTTTGCATTTATGTAACACATTAAGCCCAACCTTTCTATTAAATGGTAACATTTCGACAAAATGGCTACTGCTATTTTTTATAAACTGTTACATAAATTAATATTCACAGAGCACTTGGAAATGATACAAAATCTGTAATACCAAATACAAAGACGGTTCAGTGAACCGATTACTGGGAGAATTTTTGTGAACAGTCGAGGCTCCCGCTTTCTTCCCCCTTGAACCGCCTTCTGACGATTATCCTACCTACCGCTACGCTCTTGTTTCATTAAAGTCTTACTGAAAAATACCGACTACTTCACACAAAACAATCCTGCCACGACAAAGGATTTTCTATTGTGAAAAAATTCCCGTGTTCAAAATTACGAATAATAATCCACTTCATCATTTTACAGAGGAATTATAAAAAAAAAACATTCCTGGAAGATGCGACTAACAGATTAAGGAAGCATTAAAAAATAGTACAAACTATTTTGTGCAGACTTCTTCTTATATTTCACACCTCTTCTGTTCTCTAGGAAGAAGGAAGTTCTGCTTGTGCTGCCATCTGCAGGGCACAGACCCACCTAACAAAAACGCAAACAGAGTCACAGTATAGTCCGTGTGATACGGACGCTAAGCATCAAATGTGACAGATTTAATTGACTTTCTCGGCCTCCTGAAAGCCTGCACACATAAAACATTTGTCTAATGCATTTTCTATTGCAAATGGTCTGAAACACGGAGACGGCGAGAATATAAACGCAATCAAAGTTCTCACGGTGGCGAAGACGCTGACTGGTCTCTTGAGTTGTGCAGTTTTACAAACAGTTATCACCATCTGAGGAACACACTGTCTCATCTTCAGGGTTGAAGGTGCGCGTGGTACGTTCCTCCAGATTACTGGTAACTGCCTACATGATTACAGTCATGACCCAAAAGACCGCATCACTATTTACATCGGCAATCTCGAATTTCAATCCGCTTACCCTGCACACGTAAATGCCCAACGTTCCTCAGCGCACAACTTGTGTTCCTGAAGCTTAACCCTTTATAGCCCAGTGGCGACTACACGTCCCAACCGCTTCAACTCCGTATTCTGCCCAAGATTTTATTTACAATTCTCAGAATAAACATCACAATTTAGTTGAGCCTAAACTTCAAAGGGTTAGAGGAGGCCGTGCCAATTGACGTGCCCGATTCCAAGATTTTTTTCTCAATTTTGAAACGGCGCGATTCTACGTTCAATGGTTCTGGGCCGCTCACACATTCCCCAAGCCTTTAAAACTGAGCTACCAGTCACTCACTTGTCAACAACATCCGGCGACTCTGCTTGAAAGTAATACATCTTCTTTGTGTGATACATCTTAAATACTTTGTCTTTTTCACCGAAGGATTCTCCTTTACAATACGATACCTGCAAAATAAATAAAATATTTGCCGGTCAATACTAAAATATAATAGTGACAGAGTAAACAGCCAAACTTACAAAAACTTCCACATTGAAGAACGTGTGGTTACCTTAACCACGGCGTAACCAGGTACGGGTGTCGCCGTCATGGCGCGCTGGTCTGTGTGTGATCGAAATGAATACAGCACAAAATCTGGATGAAGAGCAAACCATCTTCGAACCCATGATTTATTTGTTTTGAGTTGCAAATAGCCACTAAGAACACACTCCGCATCAGCAGAAACCTGCAAAACACATGAGTCACGATAACACACGGAGCACACGCAGAATCAAAAGACGCGTCAACTGGCACTGAAGAGCATCCATTTCAGAGCCGTCTCCTTATTTATACGTCACCCAATTAACAATAAATGAAACAAAAATAAAACGAAATACAATTTCAAGTACGTGGCAAAGACGTTCAAGAACTTCCTTACTGTTACAGTAGCCAAAGAGCTTGTCGTTGTCAACAAATAACCAACTACTGACTCTTATCCTGGGCCAGTTCAAAACAACTCGCATCTCACAGTCTCCTACCCAAAGCACCCCCCCCTCTCTCTATGAAGTTGCAACCTGCTGTACATCCATCAAAAACAAATCTCTTGATTTATTCACATTAAATATATGAACAGTCCATAAAGCTACAAGTAGTGCCAAATATTCCCAAATAAACAAATTTTCATACATTTCATATTTCTTTTCTTTCGGCCATGTGACTCACACCCACAACATTTCCACAGACGGAGGCATCACGATGGCATACCTAGGGGTGCTAAATACAGCGATAAGTGACGTGGCACCTCGCTGCAAGTGCACCCGACCTCAACGTACCTCTAACAAGCCTTTCCCCCTAGAAAAACTGGTGGTCATATTCTCAGCGTCAGAGTCATTTCTGTCTGGACTCGCTGATCTCTGCTGTAAGAGCTTTTGATGACACGGACGGCACACACGAGACAGCCGGTTGTCTTCAAATGGAAGCGGATACTTCTGGTTTGAACACTTCCCGCATACCACCTGTCCAAACAATTTTTAAGACGCTGATATAATTTTCAAAGCATAAATAAAGTCTATAATAATATACTAAGTAAAGTAAAGTTTGTCCCACCAAACGCCGTGTTGGCGTTTGCGGGGAGAGGCGGTATAGCTCCTACTCTTTCTTCACCTCGGCAATGGATGGGGGCGAGTGTTCAGCGTCATGCCCCAGCCGTGCTTTACCCCCGGGAAAGGATCCCGGTACCCATTGGACAGGAGGCCGGGTGGGCCCCAGAGCCGGTCTGGACGCAATAATAACATACTACAGAAAGTAAAATCTGAGATGTAACGCTATTTTACAAGAAATTTCAGTTTCTGGAACCACATGATTTATCACAATGTTACATCAGAATTGAGATTTCTGGTTTTCACTGCGGCAAGTATAAATATGGCTGTCTTCTGGGTTGTTGCACCGTGCAGTCTGGTAAAAGTTTACCAATGTTTGAGAGGTGCTTCCTGCCTCCACCATCAGGGTGACCAGACCAGACTACACAGCTTAACAACCCAGACGACAGCCATCTTACATTACAACGGTCTAATATTTTGGAATTTCTCAGACTTCCCATTTCAAAAGTTAAATTATGTAGAGTGCAACTTATTTTTTATCTCTGTTGACATATTTCATTCCCTGGCCATGAGATTTCAAAGAGAATTGTGAATGCAAATTAATGGAAACTTGGGACACAAAAATGACAGTCAAGTCGAGGCAAAAAAACTTTTAAAACGTCATACCCAATAGCATTTCTGCGTGCTTAATGATAAATACAATAGCTTCGTACCTAGAAAATTTTATTACCTGCCCATGCAATTAAGAGAGAGGAATTCATACTTTCTGCATGTGCTGCTGGAGAGAACATGGACATTACCGCGAACGTGAATCTCTTGAGACGCACTTCTCCTCTTGGCTTCAGTATGACAGGCGCAAAAGTTGCAATTCTCATACTTGTAAATTAACAAGTTATTTTTTTTTGATTTTTATATACAAGTTGCTTTAATCGTCCAGTCAATTCAATTATGGATACTTTCTTCGGAACTAAATCTCCATTAAAGTGAATAAAGCCTCAATGTGGATAAATCAAAGATTGAACAACTACAGTGGCAACAAAATTAATGTTAAGGCAACTTTCATAAGTGATGTTTATCATAAGTGGCTTTCAATACCCTTATTCCAATATTACATCGATTCACCGTTCAACTTGGAATTTTCAGCTATCAAAGGCTTCCCTGTAATAAAAAATTTGTCTCTCCCATAACAGTTAAATTGAGCTGCACCGAATAAATGATTTTCATCGTCTCCTTCCTCTAAGAGAGACTCAGTTTCAACTGTTATGGAACTGAACGCATGTGCGTCATCCTCTTCTAGAATTAATCTGTAACACCAACACACAAGACACAAGGAATATTGTACACAAGTGTTCTAAGGGAAGTCCAAACACGAATGGAGTCACGTCAACGGGAATGCGTAATCTAGCGTTACTTTTGGAATAATTCTCCTACTGAATGGTTTGAATACAAATGTTAGAAAGTTCTCGCTGCTCTTACTGACCGATCCACAAGCTCTACAGTGATGCTTTCGTTTCATGACGCCAAAACTGCCACCACAGTCCATGCATTTGTGTATGCAGTCCATCTTGATGTAGTTAGGAGGCTTCTGCGCGTCCACAGGACTAGAACACTTCGTCCCCAGTTTAAATGACGACTTCCTCTTATAAAGTTCTTCGATAGCAACACACAGAGCATCTAGCCAGCTTGTCTTCTCTTCCACAGTTCTGACAACAAACAAATGTTTACATAAAGTAAAGTTTTTTTTTTAAAATGTCACACCAACTATTTGAAGCAATGAAGTTAAAAAAATATAAGGGAAAAAATATGACCATAACAAAATTATCAATAAAAAACTGGGCCATTTAACACTAAATCGACACAGCTCAAAATGGTCACATGCCCTGTCCATTTCATCCTTTTTTACTGGAACACCATAATATTTGATGAGTGTACAAATTACGCAGCTCCTCATTATACAATTTCCTTCAGCCTCCCGTCACTCGCCAAATTGTCGCCCACCGATTCGACTCCAGTCTTGCAGTACGTCAGTGGACACTTCTCTTCTTCCCTGGCCAAAATATTGGGCGTTTACACATCGCCGTTTCCATGACAAATATGATTTTATTTTGTTCAATTCCCGGTGGTGCTCAAATTTATAACTTGTGTTGGGCAAGGCCGTGGTCTAGGCATCACGGAGTTTTCCTCCGGGGGCTTCCCCGGTTTCTCCGTGGCATCCCAACAATTACTCCTCTCACACACAGAAGAAGGCAATGGCAAACCACTTCTGATCATCTCTACCAAGAATGTATATATGTATGAGCAGGTCCCTGACAACCTGAAGAGGTTGGAAGGATCCTGTTCATGATATATGGACCGGTCGTCAGACAGAACACTACAAATAAAAAATAAATCTTCTTTACTACTATTTCATAGTCTCTTGACATGCACCAATTTTCCACTGCCAGCGATAGTGAAGTTCATTGCGTGCTTGTTTAATCCATATTCTCCCAAAACTGTAATAAACCAAGGTCTACCCCCACACAAAACAGGGAAAAAATCAGTCGTGCATAGTTTAATCTCAAAGACTTGGTGGTCTCAGGGGAAGACACTGGACACTCATTCAGAGAGTCCTGGCTTCAAATGACCATCAGATATTCTTGTGGGTTTTTTCTTTCCCCCCCCCCCATATATTGCCAAAACTTAGGACATGTAAAGTACACGAGGCACCGACCACAGATCACGGCTCGTGTCAAACTGTGTGTCCTCCTCACAACACCCCACCACTGGGAATAATGGAATCTGTATTACCAATAGCAACAGAACTTTGTTCGACATGCCTCACTCAAGGTTAACAACATATGCAGACAAAATTCTCCAGAAACAGTCTCCTCCACGGTACTCACTGCGTGTACAGCTCCACATTCTTATGGTCATCTCTGATGTAGAACGTGTTGGCAGTTTCAAGATTGTCACCCTCCAGGACCTGGAGGCCTTCTACCCAGAATTTAGCTCGCAGACGGTACGCTGCCGGGAGCAAGCGAGAAGAACACAGCAACAAGAGGTCACTGAACTGAAAGAGAATTCAAAGCCGTAACTCAACTTAAAACCAGATTTTCTGTTTCTGAAACCGGCATGCAGCATAATGTCAAATACAGTACAGATTAATATAAAAGCAAAAGTGAACGTAAGAAGGACGTCAGTGATTATATGCACCGTGACTACAACTTATCTGACAGTCTTAACAAGACTAAGAAAGAGTTTTCTGGAAGAGTAGCAGACTGGCCGCAGTGTTATCGTGGGACAATCTGACAAATGTTTATATTTCTTATCAATCTTTCTTTCCCAAAACGTTATCATGGGGCTGATTTCATGTGGCTCAGCCACAAGAATTGACGTCTTACAAACCTAGCCTTCCCCAGCTTTCTTGCTCCCTAGAGTCATGCCCCCTGTACCTACTGCTCCAGGAACTTTGCCCCACAGGCTTCATCTGTCATTTACTAACATGGTCGCAGACATACGAGGTCTGACACAAAAATAACGAAAGTTATGATGTAACTCTGTTTATTTACATAATTACAAAAATTAACTGTGATCGCCCTTGAAACAGTTCTCTTCGGAGTTGATATACAGCTGCATACGATGTTGCCGCTGTAGATCATTTTCTGTAAGGCTGTTCAGCAGCTCTGTCGTTTTTGCCTTCACTACATCTACCGTCTCAAAATGGGTCCCTTTTAGCACAGATTTGATCTTGAGAAAGAGAAAAATGTTGCAGGGAGCCAAGCGTGATGATTAAGACGGGTGGTGAAGCACAGTTACGCTCTTACTGATTAAAAACTGCTTCACAGGCAAAGCTGTGTGGGCTGGTGCGTTATCCTGGTCAACAACTCTGGCAGTTTCATTCTCACTTGTTCGCACAGTTTTGTCAGATTTTCATGTAATATCGCTGATTTACCGTCTGGCCGCTGGGAACCCACTCTGCCATCGCAACACCCTCGATATCAAAGAAAATTAATGTGCGTGAAGACCTGGGCGCTCATCATCTTCCACGCTTTCCCTGCCTTCCAAAAATTGTTTGTGACATTTGTACGAACGTACGCGAGACATGCAATCTTCACTGTAACCCTCAGCCAATAGCTGAATAGTTTCCATCGCGGATTTCTCAAGTTTAACGAGAAACTTAATGTTAACGCATCGTTCCAATTTAAGATAACACATTTTTTAACCAAGTATAAAAACACTTCTGTACAGAAACACTCATCCACTGCGATCAAGTTGAAACTTGAATCACTGGTAGATGATAGATCAAGGTCAAATAAGGTCTATTTATTTCGCCTTCACTATTATTGGTTGCCTAGTTAAAGCATCAGTCTCGTTATTTTTGTGCCAGACGTCGTATACTTTCATATCTCATACAAGTGTTCAGTGGGAAGTTAATGTCAACAGATTGACAATGGCCAGAGAAAAAAGCAAATTTCTTGACAGACAGTAACAACACAGACCAAATAAAAATACACATTTCAGAATTACAGATCATCCTGCATATACCACAAAGGAAGGACAAAAGCGACGTTTAATTTAAAGATATCGCCGATATTAGCGTGAGGACATTCAGGCAGTCACGAAGCAAATAATACACGATAATTCATGAATCAGGAAACTATTCCAGTATGTTAATTCAATTTACAAAACTGAAAAATCCATTAAGATGCAGGAACCAACACTGACCAGAAAAAGGTAACGCTCCTGATGATCCCCACTGCGGGCTGAAATCTTCACAATTTTCCCTTCCTTGAGAAGTTCTCGCGTTGGACTGACCAGGTCCACAGCACCACTAATTTTCTCCTGCACTTCCAACAGCTGTTTAAACTTATCGATTTTTTTCATCGCCTCATTCGCGTGATTTGCCGCTGTCGACACCAAGTGAAGAGCCTCTGAAGGGGAAGAGACAGCAAGAAAGAGGCACGTCACTCCACCTGTCACACTAAACATTCCAGCTCTAACTGAAGAGCGCAATTTAATATAAGACTCGATTCAGAGTGCATATAGTCAAGTTGATGAAGTATAATTCCATACGTGAATATACTTAATTTATTCAAAGACCTCCTGCTGTAATATCAACATGCACATCCCCATTTGTATTTAAATCACAAATAATAATTCTGCACAACTTAGCAAATCTTCTTATAAAATCCTCAATAAGTGCACTACAATTTTAAGGTTTAATTATGAAGCGAATCAAATTTGGCCCGGACTTTTCTTTTCCAGACAGAAAATCAAGAGCTTTCTATGGCAATAAGTGTCGCTATGTGGGCTAGCTACAACAGAACCAGTGTTTTGTTTGGGTTAACAGAGACCAGTCTATTCGTCATAATGGCAGGTGATGCGCTGCAAGCTCTGTCGCACGGTGTATTATCATCAAATCTGCGTGTTTACCAAAAGAGAAAAGGCGGACGACATCCATCATCACCTCCAATTTCAGTTCAGGTAAGAGTTTATCTTGTATTCGTCCGTGTTCCAATGGCGCCAGTCATTAAAAGTCGACTGTGAATGGGTTTCAAAGATGCTGCATGCAGCGCACCCTGCCATGGCAGTGAACCAAGGTACTGTTTGTGCAGATGTTTTGTGCGAGAGAAAAACCAATGAATGCACCCTACTACCCTTTTCTTCTTAAAAACAAACTTAAGCCAACCGTCGAAACCAAAAGGTAAGGATGACTGTCCAAAGCGGTCACTGTCCTCCATGACACACGTCCACATAAACTGTGGAGGGAGGTACTGCCTCCCCCTCTTTCGAGATTTATCCCCACGTGATTTTCTACTTAAGGAGCACCTTGGAGGCCAGCAGTCCAAAACAAATGAAAAGGTCATGGTAGTGATGCAATCCTGGTTGCATAGTCAGCCAAAATTTCTCTGTATGATCTGAAGCTTTCACAGCGACAAAGTATAATGACTTCTCCTCGGGCTACCAGCCGCGACACGCGGTTGAAAGGTGAAAAAACTGTTTCAAGAACCATCTCTGTCCTTGTCCTCAAGGTACTGAAGTCCTTGAAACGCTGGTGTTTTCACCTTTCTACCACCTGACATTGTTCTTACTGCCAGAATCTGCAAGTTGAAAAGTGGACCACAGGTCAATGTATAGAAATGTGAACACGGTTTCAGTCGTGCACAAAGTCTGATGGTTCGCAGATGTCTGGAAGATAAAAGTCTAGATCAAATTTGAACCCCCCGCATGTTTGCTAAATGTCACAAGTTTTAACAGTGGCATACACACTTTTTGTATCTTCTTTATCGAATGAGTCGTCAGATAACTTCTTGAGATAATCTTTAAGAAGCAGTTCATAACGTGGAATACGTTGTACTGGGCTCAGCATATGATGAGATAATGTGAGATTCCCACATTCTGGCATTCTCTGGAAATAATACAATTTCTAGGCTCAACACGAACCAAAGAACAAACAGCAACTCTACAGAAGAAAGCCATGGTTATCCTGCTGTTTAAAAAAGTGGCGAAGGGGAGGTTTAATTGCAAGAAATCTGCGAAGGCATCTCTTTAAGCCACTAGAACTCTTTGAATGAACATTGCCAGATATGTGGAAACAGCTGAACCTAGTAAGATATGGGATCAGGACAAAATGTGGCAACCTCATGTACGCCATATTACATGTTTCAGGACTTCTGACAGCCTGGCAAATCGAGTTTCATCAAAAACAGTTAATTTTTCCAATGATATGAAAAGAGCCAGAAGATCATTTATAAAATATAAACAAATGGTACGATATCGTGGCCCGTTTCACACTGTGAAGATTTTCCAGTATCACGGTCAAAAGAAATGTAGAGTGTAGATGATGATGATGAAAATATGTTGAAGCTCAGTATGATTCACTGCTGTCATCAAAAATTATTATGGGCATATCATCATCATCATAGTGGCCATTTCTCGCATCCTAGTCACCTAGGATTATTTGCCCCTTTCTCAGAGTAGCAGGTGGCAAGCCTGCTGCCTCCATACAATTTCTTCTCAATTCTGATTTGTCTGCTAGAGCCATCTAATAGCAAATCAGAAGAGACATGGGTGAGAAATGTGGCCACTAAATTTTGCTCACGAAACATTTCTTTCATGCTCATAAGGTCCTTTCACATGCCGTAAACGTACGACACAAAATAACGTACGCTAAACACAATGTCTGTTCCTCCTACTAAAGTAAAAAAGTTCATCATGACATCCAACAGAGTTTGATGAAACTGTAAGAGAATTCAAACTTTCATTCAGCGGCGACTTATCAGGGGTGATCTGTAGTTTCTGTCGTTTCATGATGATTCAGTAATTCTTTTTCATTTCACAGCGCAACAAAATGAGCTAATCCGAATGCCACACCACCATCGGTAAATGTTTCAACATGCAGTCTACACCCAAAATAAGATCAACGTGTGAATATTTTCTAACAAGAAACATAATCAGCAACTTACATGAATTTCATCCATTATTGCTGTGAATCTCTGATTTTTGGCTGCCAATGCACTGATGATATTCATTGCATTGTCAAAATTCTTCACATATTCGGTATATAATTTCAAAAACGGTGCAAAGTTTTTCATAATGTCACCTGAAAAACAAGAAATTATGTGATTACTAGCATAATTCACCCATATGTGAGTCTGATGGAGGGGCTACAGTCTGGAAACTAACAGTGCCCTCTCCTGCTGGTAACGCGGTCGGCTAACCAGCGTGGCGCTTGGACGCAAGAACAAAACGAAGTTACAGAAAGAAGCATTTAGTGACAGCGACCGACTGAAAGACAGCATTACTGAAAATTATAAGAGTTCCGACGTAGATCGCACGACATATAGTTTTTCAAAATTTTTCCGTGTTCCACCTAAGTTTGGCAAAAAGTTAAAATTACCACATTCCTTTTCTGAAATTTCCCATTCTACATAAATCAAGCACATAAAGCGGTCATTTTGTTACGTATCTTCTAGTCGCCTTCATACGTATCAGCTCCTTACGAACGAAGTGCAAGTAAAATATCAGTACTGAGACCGTCAATGCGACTTTGTCGTTCTGATGAAACAGTTCACGCCATCTTCAGCATTAAAATCTTGTTTACTTGCACCTGCAGATTCCCTTGAATCTTTCCGTCATACCGACAAAACATTCTGTTAGTGGCGTGGTGACACGTGCCTGTTCACTGCCAATGCACTGTGTAGAGTTCTTTCATTCTACACGAGAAGAACCCAATCTACGGTCCATAGACCATATGGAGCCTCTTCAATGTACCATTAAGTATCCTGTAACTAGGGTTGTTCCTAGGACATCCCAGGCTCTGCAATTCAGTACCACAGCACGTGTTTACTCTGTGACTTTAATAAATTTGTGATTTTAGGCGATCCAGTAAAATAATGATAATGTGATTACCAATTTTCTGTTCCTGGTCCCAGTTTGTCATCCGAGCTTCAAGCTGTGGTAAGAGAAATTCATGATGGAACTGGTAGATGGACTTGATGTTAGAAAACATCTGAGGTATCATTTCCTGCGGAAACATGTTATGGGCGCGATTTTCTTGGTCTACTCGAAAGTGGAAGATCTGTAAAATCACGTTAGTAAATTAACCAATCCTGTGTGGGTGCACGCACGCACACAGGATTGGTGAGTCAAAGTACTGTGGCAATAATTTAGGAGGTTCTTGAGGATATAATTTGGAGAAAAACATTAAAATAAATTATTGCTCGACATAAAATGATGGTACTTGTGGGTTATCGGGACACATCGCTTTAAAAATAGGTTAGGTTAGGTTAATGTGTGTGGATAAATGACATATACTTGAAAGTTATTATAGTGTATTTCAATAAACGACAACTAACCTAACCTAACATATTTTTAAAGCGATGTGTCCCGATAACCCACAAGTACCAAAATGATTGCCCATTTATGTAAAAGTTTTGTTATTTACATTCACCACAGAAAGACAACAGAGACATTCATGTTCTAACCAACACAAAATTCACAAGAACAAAGTAACGTCTTTGAAAAATACTGAAATGCTAAAATGGCAGGTAGCAGGACAGTAAAAGCAGCCAATGAGTTATGCAGATGAAATGGGGCAGGATGGCCAATAGCTACTCTGTGACCCACCAGAAGCAGAGGTGAACTAAAAACTCCTTTTTCCACAATTTAGGTTACTGAAATGCTAAAATGGCAGGTAGCAGGACAGTAAAAGCAGCCAATGAGTTATGCAGATGAAATGGGGCAGGATGGCCAATAGCTACTCTGTGACCCACCAGAAGCAGAGGTGAACTAAAAACTCCTTTTTCCACAATCTAGGTCTAAAATTCTGAAAAGTTATATTCTTCTTTCTACCAGTTGTGATCTAAAAAGTTCACACACACAATTCCATCTGTCTATTAAGGAACATAATGACACATGCTGGTCCACATTTCTACCAACTGTCTCAACCACACTTACTTGGTCTATCAAACGAAGGACAGCAACATAGCTTCTCTCTGTAGTTAGCAACTCCATAGCAATTTTGTACGCTTTCACTCTACGCGAATCTGCTTCTATGGCCAGTATATGTTCCTCGTTCTCTGATGCCGTAATTGAGCTTGTCTCACTAGGTGCAGGACTGCCAATTGGCAAAGGCACCGCATCTTCTTCTTCGCTCTCACTTTCCGATACATCGTACACTTCGTGGCGTGTCACCTGCTCATAAGTCATCCTGAAAAAGAAAAATCACTGAAGGGGTCTACCAACTACATGAAAAACAAGAATACGCAGTAACATTCGGCCAAAACCTAACCTGCACATATTTGTGTGATTTTCACCTGCACTTCGTGACATTGAAAATTTCTCACTCCACATTTGTCTATTTGATACCATGAACATTGTAGACCTGCCACCTTCTTCAGTTCGTAGAGGAGGCACACCGCAACCTGAGCCCGCAGAGACGCTACGGATGACGTCTCGTCCGCCTCGCTCATAACTGCCAACTGGGGCAAGAGGTGAACAGAGTAGCATAAACCTTTCATCATGTTCCTTCGCAAATTTTGATAACAGATCAGAACCTGCTTCACTGGAAGAAGCGAACTTTTCATAGAAATCATGGACAATATTCCTTGGTTCACTCTTCTGTACCGCGTCATTTTTTTTTGTCACGTGCTTCACGCTCCATTCTTCAGCTGAATCCTGAATCATTTACTCCACTCTGAAAGAAATGAACCTCAGTCAATAGAAACTACTGACAATCAGCGTATCATTCCAGTACGCAATGAGCTGCGATAACACACTCATCACTGGCATTTGAAGTCATATCTAAAATAAATAAATTGCTTGACTCCATTATCTTATTATCATCCCATCAAAACAAATATTCATGAGCATAACACAGTAAATCTCCAGATCATCAGATCAGATTCCGGCCGAATTAATTAAAGCAGGTGGCAAAGGGTTGCATATGGAGACACATTATCCATAAGCTTATTCAGTTAATTTGGGATAAACAAGAGATGCCACAACAGTGGAAGGAATCCATAATTATTCCTATTCATAAGAAGGGGGACAAGACAGTGTGGTAATTGCCGAGGAATTTCTCTGCTATCAGCCTCGTACAAAATTCTATCAAACATTCTTTTGGCAAGATTAACCCCATATGCGAATGAAATTATTTTGGATCATCAGTGTGGGTTCAGACAAAACAGATTTAACAATTGATCAGATCTTTTGCATTCGTCAGATACTAGAGAAAAAATGGGAGTTCGGTGGGACCGTACATCAGTCATTTATAGATTTCAAAAAAGCCTATGTCTCTGTGAAGAGAAAAGTGCTATATTCTTTTTGAATTTGGTATACCAAAGAAGCTAGTGGGTCTAATAAAAATGTGCTTAAATGCAACCTGTAGCAAAATTCGAGTAGGTAAATATGTATCTGAGACATTCCTCATCAAGAACGGTCTAAAACAAGCATGACTGTTATTTTTAGCATTAATGGAAAAAAAAACAACTGGAAAGCATGCAATTCCAAGCAGGCGATAATTTGACACCTTTCGTAATATGCCAAAACACTCAATCTTACTGCAACAATAACCCAACATTTAAGCATTAAATAACGGTAACACTGAAGTAGTACGTATATGTTATTGAAAACTGATTTACATTTATGTACAACACCACTACAGCAGAAAATAACGTAATTTGACACAACCTTCCTTACATACTACAGGGAAGATTCACTAATAATCCACTCCCACTTCAATTACTTGTGATGAACCACAATCTATAATCACAAAATAAAAACGGCACACTGTAATTGTCTAATTACCTGCATGGCTCTAGCTTTACATCAACATTAAAAATATCTGTCATGTGCAAAATATACACACAAACACAATGCATAATTTAACACTTGCTCACAATCGAACGATTTATACCTATTCACAGATATGCAAATCCATATGTCAAACTAAAGCATGGCCAGTGCCACCTAGTGGCAAATAATGGTAGGCATATTCAAGTTTGAGAACCAGTTTCGGTTGCTCACCAACTCCGTTCCAATTTTCTCGTAAAAATACAGTATAAGCACAATGACTTACCAGTAATTGATGATGTTCCACGTATGTACAAAGTTCAAATAGGGGTCTGCCTGTCTGGGCGATATATTGCGCGGCCATCACACTCCTTGCGTTTTACTTGCACTCTCTTCCACATCCCTTAAGTGGAATAAGTGTGAGAATTCGCTCTGGAAGAATGTATCTACCAATGATTTCTAAAGTTTACATCAAACTGAGTAACTTTTTAGGAGGATGAGGAAACTGTTCAAAACAGTCATGTCTTATCCGGTGAAAACGTAAAGTCTTTTGGCGACTTCAGTGTTTACCAGGCTGTCCCAGATCCCATAACCTGTCTGACAGTAATCACCAGAAACATTTTACTTTCAGTAATTTAATTTAATGGAGAAAGTACATTGTGAAGTATATCGAAGTACTGGTTGCAATACCATCTCCTCCACTGGCAGTGATAACAAATGCAAAGCACAACATGAAAATACTGTATGCAGTAGAGTCCTTGATATAAGGGAGCCATGTTGTCTTTTGCTAGGTGTGAAACCAGCGAACTGATGGTCAGTCTTGTTTGACTCATATGTCAGTTTCCCCACCTGGAAACCCTTTCCATTACAAGTGGGGTTGGTGTCATCTTGTCATCCTCATCAGATATTTTATCTGAGGTATACTTATCAGCATCCGTGTTAGTCAGTCCCATATGTCCATGATCCTGTTTGGTAACCCTTTGAGATGTTTGTCGGGTTGGAATCAGGGGTTGTTCCATCACATCATCTTCCTCCTCATCCTTTTAATCAGAGCCTTCATGAAATGCCTCAGAGTTACAACGCAGAGTAAGTTCAACCGTGTCTCCATGCAGCTGCCATTCCTTCATATCCTTTATAGATGCCAAATCTTGTCTTACTTTGCCGTGCAGTCATGCTCAGTGCAAGTACGACAGCGAAACTAAAGAGCTTATGCCTCAACACAATGCAGGATGAAGATATTTTTAGACTGCGTTGGCACACAGGTTCTCAAATGAACTCTGTCGCAATGGAGGGCATAGAATACAATTTATTTTGTGGGACAGAAACAAATCCTTAGACTCAAAAGAAGTTGACTGCTATTGCCACACTCATTCATTTGACATGTGACATGCATGCTAAAGGGATGATTGCCCTTTTTACTTCTCTGATGTTTAAGCACCGATACTGTTAGATGTTTATGTTAAGGTTTTGTAATCAAAACCACAAAGAAGGAATTCTGATAAAATTTTTATTAATTTTGTAATGATGCTTGAACTTGAGTAATGACTAAACATACAGCTTATTAATTTTGTAATGATGCTTGAACTTCAGTAATGACTAAACATACAACAGTTCCAAGCAAAGTACCGTCACTTCCGAGGCTTTCTACCATTCTAAATCTTCAGTATTGGGTTCAATTTGAAGATTAACAATTAACTCATGTGAAAATAATCTGAATAATTGAAAATGAATGTAAACGAAGCATGTATATAAAAACTGACTACAAAACATTGCATACAGGTAAACAGGTTCATCTCAATTAGAGCTCTTATTTGGAGTTTTTAGCTTAAAAAAATTGCAATAAATACACTGTACTTTGTAGCATTGTGTATTTTGAATCTGTTCAAATGACAATTCTACACATAAGTGCAGACTCCAGTAATTTAAATGGCATATGACGAAGGTTAAATAAACAAAATAAACGTAACTGCATTAGGTATTACTCCATATAGAGAGAAACCACTGGAAGTAACAGACCTGTAATCTATCCTTAATGGTGGACTGACTATATATAGCACCACTTAATACAGTTTGCTGAAATGACATTTACAAAACTTTCACAAGTCTTTCTCTTTACTCACTCTGATGACGAAAAGCAATGAGTCAGCGGCATTTAATAGACAATATAAAACATATTTTAAAACTGCATATGAAATTTACTTTTCTGTACGCAAGAATTTATAAATATGATGACAGCGCCAAACTCTGACAGTATGTCGTATGTCTTTCGGGTTCAGAGAATCTATACCAATAAAAATTATGCACAGAATTAGATGACTAAGTAGAACAATAACTAATTTCTGCTTGCCTCTTGTACTGGATGTCAAGAATTCTTCATAGAACTTATATTAAGCGTCACAAAACTGGTCGGTACTGTGAGGGCATCCTTTTGCCTCCTGACAGTAAGTATTGTTGACTGCTTTCCCTTGGCTGTGAGTTATCTGAATATGGGAGATTAGCAAAAATATGTTTCGACATGCAAGGAGAATCCAAGAGGGGGATATGAATGAGACAGCATTTCTGAGCCCATAATTATGGACCTAAGTGAAACGGACATCCTGCACAAACAGCAGAAGCAATGACTGCAAGGAAGACCATAATTGGGACAGAGCCTATTCAGTTTTAATATATACACACACAGCGCATTCACTGATAAAGTGGAACGCAAACATCGCTTCCTGGCTCTTGCACCAAATGATTTTGTCACAGATAAGTTGATTATATTGTTTTATGGAGTAATCTTTGACTTTGCAATGAATAATGCAGTTCCTCCAGGAGGTCAGGAAATGACAGTTGTGTTTTATCAGTGAATAAACATGCATCACAAAAAATAGATCACAGATTAAAAACAATACTTTGTTACATCTTTGCCAAAGGAACACATCCTCTGATTCTGTTAAGTATGATGTACTAAGATGTACAATTTGTCTGACACAGAACAGAAACAACAGAGTAGGCAAGTTAACAAACATGACCTGATGAGATCGCATTCACGACATAAAATGATACATAATAAAAACAAAACATAAGCTGTATATTCTTACAAAGTAAAGTAACGACTGACATGCAGCTTTATGAAAGAACAAAAGTTTGAACCATCAACTACATTTCATACACACAAGGCAAGTGGTAAAGTGCACAGAACACGCTCTGTGAATTGTTGCAACATCACCAGTTCCAGACTCCCCCAAACATTTTCCCGAATAATGCAGTGAAGCTGGGCAGTATAAACAATGTTTTAACACAATTCAATATTGAACTTTAAAATAATAAAACAATAATCTAAAAAATATAATTAAATGTGACGTATACACAAACACTCAAAGCAGAAATGCAGCTAAACAGAAATTATTACTGATAGTTTAACGAACAAGAAAAGTGCAAATTAAAAAATATGATAAAAAATTATATATCAGTATATACAAATGTAGAAGTTCAGAATACATGAAAATAATAAATGAGAAGTGTATACAAAGTGTGCCACATAAAAAGCAAACTTGACATTGACTTCTGGCATCAAATAATTAGGACAGCAACTGAGCACATACCAATACTAAATTCCAATTCAAAAGTAACTGTAAAAATTGTACTAATATTAATAACAATGGAAACAAATATTCTATGAGCATTTTTAAATAATTATGGCTATTTATGCACACCTTGCTCAAGAAAGAATAATTACAATATGTATTTTCCCAAACACTGTACCAAGAAATGGATCCATCAAATGACAAATAATTTAGAATGACACACACACAATTAATGTGGACACAGATAAGGTTCTTATAAAACACTACTTTATTTTATTAAATGTAAAATCCTTTATGAAATCTAGCAATAGAGCTCTGCGTGATTAACACAGAAGTACCAGCACCTTGGCATAATAATGGTGAGACTGTTAAACTAATAATGGTAACAAATTTCTTGCACATTATCCATCATCCTGATATTAATTAAAAATGTTTCAAAGACTGGAATCTGTCCAAGGTAACACCTACTCTGATGGCCACTACATCTGGACAAGGGCAGTGCCACAAGTCATGGTACTGGTACACAAACTATGTAAGATGAAAAACATCCGAGAGAGTCAAAATTACAAAGTAGATGAGACCTTGTACATATTACCATAATTATAATCTGGCAGGAGTCCACAAAACAAGAGCAAAAATTATAGGATAAAACTACAACAGGACATGACAATGAACCCAAAAATGAAGACAATAAAACATATGAACACGGATGTCTCTTGGGTTCTAACGCTATGTAGTGTGGTAGAAGTTTATTGATGTTTCTCAGGTCTGTGCTGCCTCCGTCATCAGGGCAATGAATCATGATGGAGGAAGCAGGTTGGGCAACCTGAATAACCAGGGGTAATTACTTAGCAGCAATGGAACTGGGTCCCACTGTCAGAACGCTGTCGCACTGAGCTGTGTGTGACTAATGTTTCATAGTTTACAGGAGGATACCCTCAAAATTGAATTTCGGTGCTTTTATCTTTTGGTGTATTTCCACAATTGCCTTCCAGCTTTTGATCAGCTGGCCAAGATAAAGAGGGTGGATGCTGGGGCAGTTCTAAAGGATAACACGAGTTTCCCATCAGCGAGCGCACAACAAAGAATCGGATTTGTTACCCAGCAGCCCCGAGGATGAGAGCAGAGATTGTTCTCGAAACGTTGGCAGAATATATGGTTCATTCACCATTCAGCCACCTGATGTGGCTTGTAACCCGAGAGTCTTTCATGAAGTACTGTCCTCAAAACTGCCTTTTTTTGTGTAAGGGACAAAAAAAGTCACAAGGCACTAGAAGTGGGCTGCTTTTACTTCCCAAAAACCAAATGACAATGTTTGCAACATTGACATTATTATGATAAAACATCCAATGTCCAACAAGCTGTGGTTCTTTTCTTCTGATGTGGCTCACCAATGTTTCGAGAACTGAACAGAACTGAGCTCCACTGACACTTGTTTTAGGCATTAATGTGCGCACATAAATCATTCCACGACAATCAAAAAACACTATCGTCACAACTTTAACTGCTGACGGAGAGACACGGGCCTTTTTTTTTGTCTTGGTGAGCTTGAACAGACCCAATGGGTGCCTTGCTGCTTACTCTCAGATTCATACAGCCTAATCCACGTTCCATCACCTGTTTAAAACATTTTGTAACCACTCGTGTTCCTGTCCTGCTTTAACATCCATCACGACAGACGTGTGACTTCAATGGCCAGACAGGCGTAGGTTGTAATCAAGGTCACAGCACAAGCATAAATAAACATGCAGCAACATGCAATTGCAGATGTTGACTCACACCTGTCAGTGCTACCAACCATAACAAATGAAAGTTCCCTCAAGATTTCGATTTTACAAAATATCATTTTCTGTATTTATTAAACAGGTGAAATTTCACGACTGTAAGGATACCCTGAAAGTTGCAGCTTGTTGTACACTGAAACGTGCACAACACCTAGAAATAAAAAACAGGGTGACATGAAACTTGAAGATTTACTGATGAAGAGGAGGATTCTGAGGCAGTAACATTTTCAGAAAGTCAATCTAAATGTTCTTATTGTCACAGCACAATGGGAAAGAGAGGTTGCTGTCAGAACACACTCTCACACAACAATGATATTCGATTGTATCAGCGCAAGCATTATCCAAGGCACCACGACTTTGAACCGCATTAGCAAAACACAATAGCGCGACAATGACCCATGTGATGCGACATGAATGAATGTCAGTGTATTCCAAAGAATGCACCCTTTAAAAATTGTTAAGAACAATGGATAATGTCAAGGAAGTCAGTCGCTGTAATAATACACCGTTGTCACAAGCCTTAATATTTAATTTATTTACATACAGTTCTCTTTCTAGTTCCAACTTAAAGTAATTTGAACTAAGAGGTAAACCGGAGTAAATTACGAACCACTTACGAAGGGATCGGTAAGCAGAGACCGAAAATTAATAGCATATAAATTTCTATGGTTATGCAGAATTTGAACACATGGAATTAAAATGAAGGCCAAAAATAACCGTTAAAAATGAAATGATTAAAGTTTCAGAACTTAATAAAACTTTCATTTCACTGTTTATGGCTATTCACGCATATAAAAGCTGAAATGATGCTAAACGATTACTGTGTTTGGAAGGGAGAGAACAATGGCTTACTTTTAAAAGAGTAAGGCGTTGGCAATTCTGGTGCTACCGTCAGTAGCCGAAGCACACAAGCAGTCTGGTGTATAGTATTCATTTTAAGCTCTACTGTCATGAATTATCAAGATATTTTAACCATCCCCTATAAAACACAGTTAAAGCATTCTGTAATAGGATTACTACGAACATTTAAAATGAATGTTGGATGCGACCTACTTTAAGAAACTAATCTGGCGTTCATCCGAATGAAATAAGAGAAATCAGGAAAGAATACAAAGCAGCACGTAAAAACTCGTGGGCCCGCTCAAGTACTTTTAAAGGCAGCGGCGCTGTCCTCATCCTCACAAATGAAGCCCATGGCTTGAGCTCTTGAAACTTTTGATGTAAGAAGTCAGTTTGGCACAGAAAGGCACAAATATGAATAATAAATGTTCTAATATGCGCAAAAATTGGCATTTTAAAGATTTTAATATGAACTTTTTAAGACTTCTGAGAATGGTTTAAATTAGAATTATTTAACAAAGATTTCTTACCATAAATATCTAACAATTCTGAAACTATGTTTAATGTCACATATTACACAAGAAAATAAACAGAGTAATAAAAATCAAGAATATTACCCCATGATACAGTACACATAATTTATAGTTAATATTGAAACAAAACAGTGGATTTTCAAGTGAAGTTACAAAATACAATGAGCAGAATAAATCACAAGAAAAATCTCACCAAAGTTAGTTTCATTTCACTTCACACATTATTACTGTTCTCTAAAATGGCTTCATGCAATTATATGATTACAAGTTTGTTTAAATCTTTCACTTCATGAACATTTTCTTATAATATCATGTCTTAAGGATCACTAAGAGGTAAAAGGTACACAGTGACATTTCTATGGCCAACTGGTGAGAAATACAGAATCATGAAGTTTCAGTTCAATGACCTGTACTTCTTCTTGTGAAATAATTCCAAGATACGTATGATACGAACCTTTCACAGCGACTAAATATAATAAATTCTTCTCGGGCTGCCAGCCATGTGAAGTGTTTAATGGAGAGAACGGCGACGTTTCGAGGACCGTCCTCGTCCACGGCTGGCAGCCCAAGAAGAATTCATTAATCCCAAGATATTTTTGGAATGACCAGCGAGACGGCAACAGTTGGCATTGAAAATAAATCTGTAATTTTGTTTAAATTACAGATTTACACAGGAACAATAGCATTCAATACCTTAAACATCCTCTTCTTCAACTTGATTCTGAATGCTCTATTTCAGCACTTTCTTCCTCTGTGTTGTGGCTTACTGCATTCTGTTCTGTTCTGCCTTCACAAGTGTCATATTTTGCTGAATCCATTCTACGTCTGTCTCCTGTAGCGGAGGATCCTTCCAATGGTATGTTCAGCTCTGAACCTGAAGAGGGTGCACGCATTTCACTGCCCATTCCACCAACCGATCCGCCGAGAGACGAAGAGGTACCGCGCTTTTCACGGCTTTCCTGAATGCTGGTGATACTCCTCTGAAGCCAAGGAGCAACAATTTTCTTGGCACCCTGAAATCGGAATATTCATTTATTCATTTGTGGTTTGCTTAATGACGCTGTCACTAGCTCAGACTGTATGGCATCAAAAATATAGGAATACTGATAAATAATAAATTAAGGAGTTGAATTAAATACTGGTCTATGTACCAAAATCAAACATTTGAGAGAAATGAGTTTGATGGAGCATTCTGCTTACAAAATAGGTGCCATCTCTTGGCATGTCTTTCAACTACAGCAACAAAGATGGTGCACAGAACACTATATGAGCTTGTTATTCTTAGGCATATAGAACACGTATTTCAATCTTTAAAATTCTGGTATTTAATCCAACTCTTAGATTGGAAAGGAACTGGTCATAGCCCAATTTAATGTGCTATCCCAGCATTTGTTAGTAGAAAATGAGCAAAACCATAAAAAATCTCAATCAGAGTAGTTTGTTTCCAAGTGAAGACTTGAGCCCAGAACATCCCAAATGTGAAGCAATAGTACCAACCACTTCACTTGACATTTTGTGCTGAAATCAGAAATACTAAATGTCGCTAAAATTTAGCATTTTGTAGTAGACTATATAGCCACGGTGGTCTAGCGGTCAGAACGCTGGCCTTGTATGTAATCATGGGGTCTCGGGTTCGATTCCCGGCGGTGCCCGAATTTATAACTTGTGTTGGGCAAGGCCGTGGTCTAGGCAACACGGAGTTTTCCTCCGGGGGCTTCCCCGGTTTCTCCGTGGCATCCCAACAATTACTCCATTCACACACAGAAGAAGGCAATGGCAAACCACTTCGGGATCATCTGCCAAGAACGTATATGAAAAGGTCCCAGTCCGAGAAAAGGATGGAAGGAGCCTGTTCATATGGACCTGTCGTCAGACAGAACACAAAATAAA